GCCGAGGGAGCGCCGCGCCGTCAGAGGGCCAGGGCCGAGGGAGCGCCGAGGATGTGTGCAAGGACTATGTCTAATACTCACGCCCACGAGGCGAATCTCCTTTGCGAGGTCTTTGATGAGCTGTGCAGTCCGAATGGTCTCAGGAATTTCATCCTCGTGCTCGGGGAGGGCCTGATAGGTTCAGAAAACAAAAGCAGCACAGATTAAAGCATTTACAGCCCAGGCCTGACCCCGTCACAGGAGATTCAGCTTCCTCCTCAAACCTCGTACACAACACAGCCAGGACTGGGAGGGAGGCAGGGAGGGCGGGCTGGGGGGCGAGGCAGCGGACGGGCGGGGTGGGGGGTGGTGAGGGAACGGGCGTACCTCCTTCTTGGTCCACGATCGGAAGGCCACGTTCAGGGACTTGGCACCGTGTACCAGGTAGTTGGCAGGATGCCGCTGGTTCTCCCGGAGACCTGCAGGGAACAGTCAGAGGCTGCCACACAACTCACCATTAATAAACGCACAGCAAGAGCCCGCGGTCGGTAAGCGAGCGAGTGCCAATGTGCAGCCTTCCCCAGGCACCTAGCCCATCTCCCCCTCCCCAGCCACTCACCTCTGAACGTATCGAGAAGATGCTTCCCAACGTACCAGCAAATCGTCTCAAAGTTAGGGAACTTGAACAGGTCGGCAGTGTTTAACCTTTTCTCAATCTCGTAGGCCCTGCGGCAGGAGAGAAAGCCAGGGAGTAAGAGAGAGGCAGAGCAAGGGAGGGGGGAGAGGGAGAGAGGCAGAGCAATGGGCAGGGTGGAGGGAGAGAGAGAGAGAGAGGCACAGCAAAGGCAGGGAGAGAGAGAGGCAGAGCAAGGCGGGGGGGAGAGAGAGGGGGGGAGAGAGAGGGAGAGCAAGGGAGGGGGGGGGGAGGGAGAGGAGAGAGAGAGTCAGACAGAGGTGGGGTAGGTATGTGAAAGGGGGTCTGGGAAGAGGCCGGTGTGGAGCACATAGCCCTGCCTGCAAGAGAGGGACTCGCTGGCCTGCTCAGGCCCAGGGAACGCCGATAGCTGTAAGCTGACAGGAGAGGCTGTGTCAGACCGCAGCTCGGAGCAGTGGCGCAGTCCTGACAACGGAGGCTCACACAATGTTCCCGCCACTTACTTCAGCTGCATTTCAATGTTCAGGCTGTGGAGGAAATTCCCACCGAAGGCGATACAGTCCACAGGGGTGAGGACAGCATGGATCCAGCCTATGGGGAAAGCAACGGCAGAATCAACTACAGCCCAGGCTGCCCCCCCTCAGCACCGACACCCCACCCCCGCCCCCCTCCACAGAGCGACAGTTCCTGAGAGCAGGGATCAGGGAGAATGGCTCTCGATCGGTTCGGACGATATTCCCTGCAGTTCGGAAGGATACGTAGCTGGGCGGGGTGGGGAATCCGATAGAAACTTATAAAATTCTAACAGGAGTAGACAGGAGAAAACACAGGAAGGATGTTCACGATGACTGGGTGGGGAGGGAATACAGAACCAGGGGCTCATTGCCGGAATGAGACAGAGCTGGAAAGGAAAGTCTTCACCCACCAGCGTGCGGAGGACAGAAAGCAGTCAGGGGCAAAACAGGAAGGGGTTGGGTATAGTCCTTGTTCCTAAAAGGGATTAAAGTGTACGGGGTCCCAGGGACAGAAAGCAGGAACAAAGGATGGAGGTTAACGATTAGCTGTGATCCAACTGGATGCACGAAGCAGGTTTGAGGGGCTGAAGGGCCTAACGCCTGCTCTCTGTCTTTCTATTCTCTCGTGTTTCAAAGCGGGAGAGTGGATCGAATTTAATCATCGTTTGGGTCAGGGTTCGACAGGGCGGATACTGGAAAGCTGGTGTCTCCAGCTCGGGGAGTCTGGAGAAAGCAGTGGGGGGGGAACGCAGACTCAGAGCTGGATGGGGGAAAGAGGAGGAATTTCTTCCC